ATTTTTGGTCCAAATAAGATTCGTCGGACGTTCTGATGGACATCCATATCACATACGCTTGACACAACTTCGGACATCCATAAAATATCTGAAATAAGACTGTGTTGAACCTATTTGGACTTATTTTGGATCATCTTGGACGTATTAACGATATCCATAATAAATCCAAAATAGGTCGAAAACGGTCTCATTTCGGACATATTACGGACGTAATTTGGGATACATACTCCGCGAATCTAATAAAATACTAAAACAATTGATTTATTCAAATATAAAATTTATTGACTTTGAGTTTGGTACCGAAAATATTGTTTTGTCAATATATATAATAATATATATAATTATTATATATTATATATTTATTTTTATACATATACATGTAAAAAAATATATAATATAATATACAAAAATGATCAATATTACATACAAGATGTCAGGGTAAAGATTGTGCCATTATACTCGCGAGCAAGTAGAATACAGTAAACTGAACAGAAAAGTTTTATATCATTTTGCTAAATTCGCAAAATTGTTATATTATTAAAATATTTAAGCCAATGAGCGAATGAAAAGCGAAGTTTGGAATTGGTAGGTATCATATACAATAGAATAGATCGTCTAAAAAGATAGTAGGGTCGATTTATTTTATTGTCTATGTTATGCCTACAGATTCCAAACTATCGCTTTCCATGCGCCATTGGCTTACATATTCAAATTAATCACATTATTTTGCAAAAGCAAAATGATATAAGATTTGTTATTTTTAGTTACTACAATGTTTTATCTACTCACGAGCGTTGACATCCGACAATTTGGTTATTTGAGAATAATTATAATATAAATATATATTAATTATAAAAGATAATATATAATATGGAAATCTAACATATGTATGGCTTATTATTTATATGTATAAGATATATCATAGAAATATTTTTTCATTGACTGGAAATATTAAAAATCTTATTTAAAAACTAGAAATTAAATTGAACATTTTGTTACGGAAACATTAGTATCACATACGTACATATTATAAAATAAATCTTAACTTTATCTGAAATAAATCTAACTTAAAAACTTTGAACGCTTACAATGTTAATTATTACGCATATGTATCATATAAATATATATGATAAAATATATCAAAAATTTATTAATATTATTAATCTTCTTGTTATTAGTTCTTATAGTTATGATGAGTCTTCTTCAGTTCTTTGTTTATCTTGCTTCTTCTTTTCACCATTTAATCTTTCTTTAGCTCTTCGCAGCCATTTCTGAACTGCTTCTTCTAAAACTTTCTTGTTATATTCGGAATTACTATCTTGACCGGAAACTGTAATAAAAAAATCAGCATCTTGTAAGCAATAATTTATTTTTTATTTATGTGATTTCATTAAGATTAATTATTTAAATAAGATAACATTAATAAATTAAACAATAACATTATCTACTTATAGACATACTTACCAATTAGCAAGTCAGCGAGTTTTAAATGACAAAATTTCCTTTTCTGTTTTGCTCCTAGCCAACTATATTTTCAGCCAGCTCGTTGGTCAACAACGAGTACAATTGCGCTTAATAAATTCGTAAGGATTTTTTCCCCCTACTCTGGATACTTCTTTAACCTACAATAAATATTTTTTAAAAAACATTATTTTGAAATTACAAATATATAACAATATGTTTAACAATTAATTTAATAATTTACATGTTATAATATACTATTTACTTTATAATTTATATTATAAATTTTAATAATATTCGCTCTAATAACACAAATTAGATTTAAAATGTAATAAAATAATATAGAATTAAAAGGAATGAAAGAATCTATTTTATTTTTTGAAAAATTTATATATTAATTTAATTTAATAAATTTTTATTTTTAATTTTAACTTATTTCCTAAGTTAATTTTTATTGTGATTTAGAATTTTAGATTAATGTAATTGTTTTTAAAATATTTATAAAATCTATTGTAAATAATTAACATTTTAAAGTTAAACATTAGTTTATTAATTTTAAAAATCCAATAAAACTCATTAAAAAAAATTAATAATTAAAAATTATTATTACCGATATTTCGAACTTATTCGGTTGATTTAAAAATTGTTCCACGTGCTCTTCTAAATCTTCCACCGAATTAAAAGGAAGATGAGGAAAAGAAAAAATAGACTCTTCTCTTTCAGTTACATTGGGCCGTTGATGAACTTGTTGCAACAATTCATTTTTCATATCTTTTAAATCATCTGCTATTTGCCATAACTGGGTCTTAAAGTATGATTGCTGACGGATAATTTCTTTAAAATACTGAAGCACTGTAAATTAAAACAAAAATAATGTAAAGATTATTTTTTACTTACTAAATTCCAATTTTTTAAAGATTCCATTGAGATTATATATGTATATATAAAATAGTAATTTCAGAATATATGTATATTGAATAGATTTTTGTCCGTGCTATTAACGTATAGTTATGACATTTTATTTATAAAGTGCACAGACAAAGAAAGCAATCACAAAAACATTTTTAATATTTCTTTGTATAACAAAATAATAAATATAAATAATAAAATATAAATATGATTAAATATAAACATGATTAATATAAATATAATTATTGATTAAAATAATGATTAAGATAATGAAATATAATAAAGAAGATGGTGATAAAATGATGATAATGATAAAATAATGTTAATATAATAATAATATCAAAAAATAGAATAAACAGTATAATAATAATTAATAATTATTTCTTTACAGTTATTTACTGATAGCACAGACAAAACCTATGAAAAATTATAAAGTTAGTTTTAAACAATATAAATTATGTACCAATTTTATTGTCGACAACATCTTCTGTCTTATTATTTTGTATGTTGTGCTCATTGTCCTGCAAAATATTTGAAATATTCAAAAATCCATCTTGTAAGTGCTTCGTCCGTTTATTCGGAACTTCATTGGATGATTGATCCACTGATCTTGATTGACATTTGTTGCTCTTCGCATTTTCGTAATTTGTACTTTTCAATGATTCTATGTATAAAAAAAATAATAATAGTAGTTACATATATAATCTTTGTAATACACAAACTAAACATATTTAATAATATCAGTATATACTTATTTTATAATAATTTTAATTTAGTAGCTTTTATTATTATATTAATTTAATAATTTTATTAGTATTTTAGTTTTATATATAATAAAATATATAGAATACTGCATGAATGAACATAATAACATAGGAAATCAATGCTAATTCTGAAATAATAAAAATATTGGCTCTTCTAACTGTTTTAGAATTAAATTTCATTATTTCTATTTTTTTGGAAAAGCATATCAAGTATTGTCCTATATTAGTTTTTTTATTGACCCATTTTAACTATATTGTTAAATACAATTTCTTTAAATCTTGAAGATTCATTAAAATTGTATTTAACAATATTGACTTCGCCAATTTAAAAAAATTATATGTATAATATATATATATATATTATATATATTATATTATATTTTAATGTATTATAATATATTTATAATATGTTAATTATTTAAAATCTATTTTCTCGGATTTTACAAAATTTGTTTTACATAATTTGCAACTGCAGTTTTTCTATGTAAATACTTCTGTTAAGTTCTTCTGTATTATAGATTTAATTCAAGATATTGAATGACTAGCTGCTGTCATTAGGATATTATATTTCCCTACACGACATGAAAGATCTGATATGTCAATTGTGAAATGTTAAAATATTGATTTTTCTATTTATTTTCGAGCAAAGTTTTATTAAGTTTTTCGAATATTAAGATTAGTCGATTAAAATTTATATTATTAATGCAATTACTAAATTATGTAAAACAAATTTCGTAAAATCGGAGGAAGTAAGTTTTAAATAAATAATATATCATAAATATATTTTATAATACATTAAAATATAATATAATAATATATTATATATTTTTTATATTATATTATATATATTATGTATATTATATATTAATATTTAATATTAAAACGAACTTTGTGTGTTCATAATTGGAGGCGTCCGTAATTTAGTGCACTCTTCGGTAGATTCATCTGATGACGAAAAGAATTTCTTTGGGATAATTTTTCTTTTCGAAATGTTATCATTATCAGTCTCGGAGTTTAATTCAGATGTTAATTCAGCCTTTTTGGCTTTTTCCCTGGCTGTTTTATAGTTATCTGAAAATACAAGTAAATATATTTATATTATTATAACAAAAATAACGATTATGTACATATATTATTGATCACAAAAGTATATGTGGAATGTATAATATTTAAATATTTTATATTAACCATAACTGCTGTTTCTGAAAGTCATAACATTATATGAAGGCCAACATGTATTTGGTTCGGCATGTTTTTTGATAGCCGCTACAATTTTTTCCATGTGAAACGGTGGCCAATAACATTTTTTATTGATAATCCAGGTAGATGGGACAGCTTCAACTGTATCTTCATCTATAAACCTTACTATAGTCCATGATCTCTCCATTTCTTCAAACATTTCAACAAAAAATTTAAGGAGCATTTTATTCCAACAAAAAATTCTATTTACAATTTATATATGAAAAGGCGCAAACACTCAATAACTTATCACAAAAATTGCAAACCTATTTCCTCTATATATTATATTGTATATTATATATATATTATATTTATCTATATATTATTATAAATTATATAAAAAATTAACATTTTTTTAGCGAAGAGCACAAGAAAAGAAAAATTTTTAAAAATATTCTGAATGTAATAAGGGAAAAACTACATACTTATTTTTATATTTTAATTTCATACATTTATTTGCAATTTGCCCTAAATCCCAGGATTCTAAATTTCCAATATCATTGATTACATATATCCCTAATTTTGACGACTTACATGGTACGGTGTAAAAATCTGTAAGCGTTTTATATTTATTTCCGATTACGAAAAAGCCCTCATTATTTACAACAAAATTTCTAATAACAATAATGTTTTCGTCTTTTAAGCTACAGCAATTATCGGGTTCATTTATTTTTAAAATAAATTGTTTAAACACCGCTTTGCCAAATTGATTACAATTATGAAAATTAATAATAAGTGGACCATTAAAATGTGGTTTTAAAAATTGAGGCTCGTTACATTTCACTCTGACATTAGAATTTATACAATAGTTTCTTTCAGTTATACGACAAACAATTTGCTCTAATTCTTTATTATTTTTACGAATCATTTTTAATATAGATTGTAAGTAATTTTCAAACGGAAAAGCACTGAATTCTTGAAGAATTCCAAATTTTTTCGCGTCATCACAAATATGTAATAAATGATGCAGGTTGTGCGATGCATTTTCTTTACCATATAAATTAATAAATGTTTCTACAAAATATTGCAATAAGGAGTTGGAATAATCTAAATATTGTTCCATATGTTTTGAATTAGACAAAATAGTGATAGCTACATGTAAAGTTAAAAAATTTAAATATTGATCATGATTTAGAATAGATTTTAAAACAACAGATCCCGTATATAATAAAAAAGTTCTAAATTCGGTTGCCTTCCATCTTTTACTTTCAAACAAAGATCTTGATTTTCTATTAAATTCGGAAGGTATATATTTTTTTTGATGTTCTAATAACTTTGATATTTCAGATATTTGACAAAAGATAACTTTGTTTTAGGTTTTCCGTAACACCATAAAGAAATCAGTTTTTTAACAACTCCCAAGAATATTAAATGCATCGGATCAGATGGAAAATCATTCACCATATTTATATTAGGAATCGATTCAAGTATTGATGTACCTATATGATGGTTTTCTTGTAATTTTAATCGGAAATCGTTATCTGTTCTTAATTGACAACTATTTAAATATGGATAAGTCATTCTATTGAGATAATATTTGCCCTTAGCTGTACATTTAAAACATGCGTAATAACCCGAATGACCCTTTGTATAAGTAATAAAACATCTAGCAGGAACATCGCATATAAAAGATTTAATTTTAAAAGAATAAGTGTGATCTTTAATTTTTATACCATGAATAGTTAAATTTTTTGCTTCTTCTGTGAAAGATTGTAAAAATACATTGGCATCTGTGGGTTTTTCATGTCCATGATAAATTCCAATGACATCAACTTCATTGTAATTTTCAACTAAATTACATAAAATGGGATAAACTTGACTACTTGAACTTTTGAATAATGGCAGGCCATCGATGTTAATGTTAACTTCAATACAGTGTAAATTTTGAAAAGAACATCGCGATAAAAGTCTTTCGATGCAATTACTTAAACCGAAATGATAGTAATGTCCTGGTGCAACGACGTCTACATTGATTTTTCTGGGAGTTCCTAATAAACTGCGAGCATTTTTAGGCAATTCCGGATATTTAAGTTTCATATTAGATATTAATTCATTTAACGCAGTATGAGTTATATTATTTTTAATTGCCCATTCTTGCAACCAAGATATAGAATTTGGAAAATCAGTAGTGGAATTTATAGATTTAAAGTTATTCACAAAATTTGTAGATTCAAAGTTATCAAAATTATGTTCTGTATCATCGGGATCACGGTCCGAATTATAATTATTCACGGTTTCTAAATCATTATTGATATAAAAATTATTGCAATCCTCTAAATTATTATTTGAAACTGAAGGTGTACTTTCTAATAATGGCATTAAATTCTTATTTTGAACATTATTAATTACTAAATTAGTTATCTCTTGTGCTCTTCGATAATATTTTCTTCTTATTTTTGGCATTTTTAAAATTAATATTAAAATTTAAAATTTATTAATATTTTTCTACCTTTAATTAATTGATGAAAATCCGTTGAAAATTCGAGAATCGATAGAAATAATAATCTAAAAAATTTATAAATAACGCTATTAGCAATCAGTACAAAAACATTTAAAAAATAAAACAAATAAACAATAATCGGAAAAAAGCGTTGATTTAGTAACGAATGTCCCATGTATACAGGGTGTTTCAGAAATAAATCGCCAAACTTAAAAAGCATATTTTATTTACTGTAAGGATGAAAACAATAACAGATTTTAATAAATCTTTTATAACAGATTTTAAGAACATTTGAAACTGTAACATTTCATTACAGAAATTGTTGAAAATAATTTTCTTCCACATTAATGCACGTGTCGCATCGACATCGCATAGATATTATCGAAGACGTCCAAAAATTCTCGAAATATTTATTTTGTCACACGAAATGATAATACGATTTCGGAGTACTTTCACAGTAATAATACAAATATCATAAATGATTCTATAATATTATTACAGATCCATCTAATAACTTTTTGTTTATTTCTAATAAAAAGTGAATAGGACAATTCATGAAACGAAGCGAGATATATGTTGCCCGATGTAAATAAAAAATGTTTATAACTTGAAAAGAAAGCTGTTCCGAATGTTTATATACTTTTTATCATTATAGTGAGTAGAATATGCTCTTAAAGTTTAGCGATCTATTTCTAAAACATTTTGTGTATAGATTATTATCATTAAAGATTATAGAACATAGGAAACGAATATGAAAACGAAAACGTTCAATCAATTATATAATGAATGAAGGAAATTATGCGTGCGTGTGTGCGTGCGTATGTGATGTGTGCGTGAATGTGACAAAATTATTATTATATAATTATAGTAAAACGTCTTACCTTGATAAATTTCTAGCAAATGTCCAATAGATTGTGCAATGGTCGCAACCTCACAGCACTACACTACGTGTATGTATACGTGCTTACAATCGTCGACCGAATAAGGAAAGGTTCACTGACCCAAACATTACACTATCCTATAATAAGGATTCGCGGTTGTTTTGGTCTTGCGCATCACCGCGTGCGAGTACCGCGACGTCAAGGACGAGACGCAGTACCGTTAATTCTGACGGGGACATGTGCCCCGATAATAAATAAAAGTAAATTTATAGATTTAAATAAAATAAGTTATTATTAATAAATTATATTTAATTGGTATATAAAAAAATAATAATTTTAATATAAAAATAATTAAACTAAACATTAGTGTAAAAATAATTATAGTAAAAAAATATTGCGATACTAAAATAAATATTTAATAATAAAATACAATAATTATTTAATAATAATAATAATAATATACATATATTTTGATCGTGGCATTAAAAGAACAGATTTTGTAATATTAAAAATTATTTCTCAAATATATAAGTTTAGTTATAACATTAAATGATACTATAAAAACATTTTCAAACATTTTTTTATATATAAGTAAATGTTAAAAAATATTTGTTGTGATATATTTATTAATAACATATTTTTAATATATAATGACATATATTCAATAAAAATTAAAGGAATTTTTGAAAAATATTTTAAAACATTTTATAGGAACGAAAGGCAAATATTTTTTAAACGTTAATATAAAAAAAAATCAGTATTTAAATTTGAACATATATTGAATGTCCATAGGATGTACTGTTTAGGACATTTGATTCATATCCAAAAAAGGACATCCAATTTATGCCCTATTTATGTCCATGGACATATGGACATAAATTGGATTTAAAATGTACGTCCATAATACATCCAGTGCTATCTGGGCATGGGTTTGCAATAAGATAGAATTCTACATGGGTTTGCAATGGATAATTTTTGTTAATGGCGTGCCCTTAACTGGTCGCCTTTTTTTACCTTTTTTTAAAGGTGAGTTTTTAGAGATTATATCATTCATTTTTGTATATTTTTATGACCGGAATAGAACAATTATTAAACATGTTTATCTAAACTTCTTTGCTTAAAATGATGTGTACAATCATATCCTAGAATCCTGATCATTCCTCCTAAAGCACCCTATTTATATAAATTTACCCATATGTGTGTGTGTGTGTGTGTGTGTACTAATGTCGAGCATTTTTTATACATTTTCTATTAAATTTAGATAAAAGTTGCAGGATTTCGAAAAAGAAAAAGTTGACACAGACTTTTTCCTAAACGGCGATTTTCAAGGTTATTTAAAGGTCACTTATATTTTCAAAATAGAATTACCTTAATTTTTCTCATATAAATCGATTCCTCGCAATATTTACTATAAAAAGTTGTAAAGGTATAATTTTTACATAATCTTACATAAACTTCGAAATATTACAAATATTTTATTCTATGAAATATTTCAGTTTATGTAAAATTATGTTAACTATCTTTTAAATTATTCACTTTTAGCCATCTTACCCTTACAACCTTTTATAGTGAATATTGCAACAAATTGGTTTATATATATAATATATATATAACATCAGTTATTATTAATTGATGTTTACATTTATTTTTAGACTTACTAGAGCTCTAATGCTCCACATTTTTTGCAAAAACTGTTTATTCTACAGATTTCAATTATGCTTTTAAATGATAATTGAATATTTCCTTTTTTTAATTATTTTATTATTATTTTTCAATCTCAATCAACTTTTATAACTTTATGCCAGCACGATACAAATACATGTGTCTTTATTTTTTTTATTATTTTCATTATTATTTTTCAATCTCAATCAACTTCTATAACCTTATGCCAGCAGGATACAAATACATGTATGTCTTTATTATTGTATCAACTCTTGTCTTTTCCATGTAACCATGTCTTCATAGTTTGAATTATCCCTTCATCTTCTCAATCTTTCGCAGAGATTTAATTAATTAAATACACTTCACACGAAATAAAGTTTGCTGGAAGATATACAGCAAACGATAACTGTAAAAACATGATTACGTGGAAAGAACAAGAGTTGGTACAGTAAAGGCAAGTAAGTAAGTACATGTAATGTATCGTATTGGCATAACGCTATCCTAAAAAAATCATAAAAATGAAAAGGTCAGGCCATGTTCAAAAGAAGGTACTCAAAAATTTAAACGATCTAATAATAAATTATCACGAAAAGTAACTGATATGTTATTCAAGGTGCCAGTTCAAAGTGAACATACGTAAAGTGTATATTATCTAAATTTAGTAATAATATATTACCATGAAAAGTAACTGTGATATTTTATTCAAGGTGCAAGTTCACATTGAATATACATACATATAAGTAAAACTGATTACAATTTGATTCTAGAAAATAAGTGCGATATGTTATTCTTAGTGCACAAAATATAATAGTCGTTTATAGAGATTTGATTTGAAATTCATACTAGCCCGTACAATGAAAAATAATTGCTCGTAATTCCAGAGTACCAATTTGTTAATGACTCAGAAAAATAACATGGCGGCCTGCTCTCAAAAAACTATGATGTTTCTCGATGTCCATTTAGAAATAATGTCAAAGCTCTTACAGAATAATTACTACAACATTTGAGATACGAAAAGTATTACATTAGAAGAAGATTAGATTAGAATAAGGATTCAACGTATTTTTAAAAGCTCTACACACAACAAGTGAATATACAAAACTATATACAAATACCTTTTTCTTCTGTGTTTCTGAAGAAAATTGTAAGTCAAATGAAACCTTGCACTTTGAGAACCATGTCACTTACTTTTCAGAGTCAAATTGATAAATTTTTTTGTATATTTTAATGATATTTATTTCTCACTTGTATCTTGAATAATTAATATGTAATTTTTTATTGTATATTACGACAAATAATCAGTAAACTTTTTAAGCGTATAACTTTATTGTAGTTGACCTGAGAACTGTACATTTATAAATTTTACTTAATATACACCCGTTTACTACCGTTTTACTTACCGTTTTACTAAAGAAAGATTGGAGGTTTTTAATTTATACAATTTTCACAACTCTTATTTCAATTATTTATTCTACCCATCGAAAGTTTTTTGAGAGCAGGCCGCCATGTTATTTTTCTGAGTCATTAACAAATTGGTACTCTGGAATTACGAGCAATTATTTTTCATTGTACGGGCTAGTATGAATTTCAAATCAAATCTCTATAAACGACTATTATATTTTGTGCACTAAGAATAACATATCGCACTTATTTTCTAGAATCAAATTGTAATCAGTTTTACTTATATGTATGTATATTCAATGTGAACTTGCACCTTGAATAAAATATCACAGTTACTTTTCATGGTAATATATTATTACTAAATTTAGATAATATACACTTTACGTATGTTCACTTTGAACTGGCACCTTGAATAACATATCAGTTACTTTTCGTGATAATTTATTATTAGATCGTTTAAATTTTTGAGTACCTTCTTTTGAACATGGCCTGACCTTTTCATTTTTATGATTTTTTTAGGATATCACTTACTTTTTAAAGTACAGATATATAGAGCAGCTTTTTAGTAATTCAAGTATTACAAATATATGTATTTTCGATTCTTATCACATAACTTTGTATAAGTAACAATTTATGCAATACAGTTCAAAATAATTGAAATATATGGTATATATGTACATATATAAAATATATAATTATATTATAGTATACATATATATTTTATTTAATCATATATGTAAATGTTTGTATAATTGTAATAACTTTTAACGATACATTGCACATTTATTTCAATTGCAACAGAATGAATTTATATTCTTGTATGAATATTGAAAATAAAGAATGGGCCCCTCCATCGCCCATTCTCGTGAGAACGCAACCATATATTTTTCTTCGTCTCTCCGATTTTAACACGACATACATATTTCTGTCTGATAATTTTTTTCTTGATGATACTTTTTGAAATGTCATGAAGCCTAGGTCAAATTAGAAACTTATTGCACTCGTTTTAATGCAGCGCTTACAGCAGCTTTTATAAAGCGCCAGAGCAGCCGATATTTTATTTTGGCGCTTACGGCAACTTTTATACAGCGCTAGAACAGTTGATGTTTTAATGTAGCGTTTACGGCAGCCTTTATACAGCGCCATTATTTAATCTGTTCTAAGAACAATATGTATGCCCCTTGTGCTCCTTTGGGCCATTTTTTCTTGAACACTTCCATATCATTAGAGTAATACCATTCCGATTTTGTGTCAGCTCTCAACATACACGTGTAGTGACCACGATTCATTTCTTCACCTTCGTGAAATATAGCGCTTATTAGCTTGTACTTTTTTTTATTAATCGTGATATTACTCGTCGGCACGGCGTTAATCCAATTGTTGATAATTTTTTTAGAAGCACCGTTTACAAAAGTATATAAATTGAGCTGTATTACTACGACGAATAAAGTTGATTCGATTACGGTTTTCTTTTTCAACACGGTGCCCTTACATTCGTTACAATTGCCGTTTATCGTTTCCCATTTAGAAAATTCTACATTAATCAAACTTTGTAGAGTGACACCTTTTTTCCTTTTTAATGTCGAATGTATAGGTAATATTAACAAACTACTGCTTTCCAGCTTAGTTACATTGTAATTACATTTGACATTCGAGCAACATGTTACGTGCTTTAATTCGAGTTTTAATACATCATTGATGTCGGAATACGTCGACATTAGAGCCGTAAAAAATTCCGAAACATCTTGTTGTGTTCGTTCTTCGAAGCGTTTTCCGACAGATCTTCTAACCGCTTGAATGTTGCAATATTTACGTTCACCATACGCGCAGATAGCATCAGTCAATGCATTCGATGCTTTATTTTTCAGTATTTGTTGCCTAATACGTACGCAATGAAACGCACATTGTAATATTACATTAGCGTAACACGAAACAGCATCGTTATTGCAAAGGCCATATATTTTCCACGTAACTATACTTTCTGGTTCCTCACAATCATAATTCTGCACATCATCAATGATATTAGGGATAGCCCATCGACGATCGTACATTTTCACAACCTTTTTCTCGGACGGATTGATTTGTGGCAGTTCAGATTTGAATATAGATCTCAGTCGATTATATTCTACAATGGCTCTCGAGTTTGCTTTAACTGATGCTGGATTGAAATTTATCAAATGTAGGCCTTCCAATTTACTTACTCGTGACAAACCTACATAGGCTT